TCTGTCTTCTACTTTTCTTCCTTGCCTGCGACTTCCTCAGCTAACTCTCCCTTGTTAGCACCCTTTGGTTTCAGCTCTGGGCAAAATTGCTCTGTTGACCTATAATGCTGAAGAACTGGTTGCTATTTTGAATCTGAGAGGTGACAAGTCTTCCTCCATCTCAGGCCTCCGATTTCACCAGAATAATATATCTGATAGCACAGGATTAACACCAAGTGGAAGCATTTTTCTGGTTTTGTTTGAATTTTTGGCTATTGCTTTTAGTTGCTAAAGATTGCTACTGCAGATGTCTGTGGGACATAGATTGATGTTGAAAAATGCCAGCCATGATCCAATGAATGTGAAGTTTCCTGCCTTCAGCCTATATGTTGTCAAATTATACATTTTTGAAGTATTGCATTTCCATTTGTCTTGCAGCATCAGGCAATACTTATTCCTCTGTTAAAGTATTTGTCTTCAGATGCTGTCCCATACATGTGTGTCAGCTGTCATGTATTATAGTTTCTGAGATTTTAGGAAAGCCTTAAGAGCATCAGGTAGGCTGGGAGGACACTTTGCACAGGTTTAACAACAAGAGACTGTTCATATCCAAATGCAAAGACTTGGGTCCCTTGTATTTCATGTATTTCTGCCCTTTGGCATAGACAGTTTTCAAGATGTAGCCTGACTTCTGTTGGGGAAGTGAATAGTATGGAGACCGGTCACTGTACTTTGTGGTTGGTCATTGTCAAAAGGAGCCACAAGGAACCAAAACTTCTTGGTCCGTGCTGAATGAACTAAAACAGAGGCAGTTAAAAAACAATGGAGATGAAAGCCTTCCCTCTGCTTCCCTTTGAGAACTGGCTTAAGTAATAGAGCATGCCTGCGGCCCAAGGTGAAGTCCGCTTTGGGAAGTGAAGATGAAGGAATTCTGCTGTTTGCAGCACTTCCCTAAAACAGCTCTTTCTTCAAGGAATAGACTCATGCTCGCAGGCAAAGGAAAGAATTGTAGGTTTTGTATGCACAGCACAAGAAACTACGACTTCTCTGCTTTAAGACAGGAAATACATCTGGAAACAAAGAGGGAATTTGCACCATCAGGACTGTTCCCCATGGCCAGCTATAAAGTGATTAGCAGATTGAGGACCAGGGATATAAATCAGTGCATAGATCTTGCCATGTGTTGCTTTATTTCTATTTCTGTTCTTGGGAATGAAGCTAGTTGAAATTCAGTAGCATCAGATGAAAAGATGAATTCATTGTTCAATCGAGGTCAATAATGTGAACTTTACAAAGGTTTCTGTTGCAAGGCTGTTTCATTCAAGTGGACCAAAGGCAATTGAGCTGAACTTCGGCAGTGACCTTGATCAAAGAGAGAGACTGCCGAAGAGGCCTCTCTTATTCTGGTCTGAATATACTGCGGGTCACTGGGGGCTATAAACCTACTGAGAGAAAGGCAAAACAAAGTCCTGTAACCGGACTGTCTGTGATGTTGAACTTTTGACTTTCTAGTAGTTGCAGCTGGGGAAATGTCAGCTGCACTGTTAATGAAGTCTTCCATGCACATGACCAGTCATTGACAAATACATAAATTTTGAAGAGATTGTTTAGGTGGAAAATCTGGAATGGAAGAAGACTGTTTACAGCCTTCCTCTCTCCTCTTGTGAGAAAAAATTCATAAATGAAGAGATAAGAGGCTGGAACTTGGCATCCAGGAATCTGTGTGCCTATCCCTGCTTGCATCTCTTAGTGCATGTGCAGAGCTTCCAGGCAGTAAAGTAGAATAGGTGTTTGATTTTGAAAAATAGGTAATGCTGTGCAATACTTTTCCTGTCATTCAAGTGAAAAAAGAACAAGAATCTGTGAATACTGCTTTACCAGAAAGATAGTACAGCAACTTTCCCAGGGACATACTCACAAAGGAGAAAAGATTTTTTTTTTTTTTTTTTCTTAATTTCTTTTTCTTTCTATGAAAGAGTAAGGTAAGAAAGCACTGTGAGTAAGATTCTGTGGTCCTGTGTTCAGAGAATATAAACATAAACATATAAATATAAACATCCAAGCTTCACATTTACCATTCTTGTGATATTTCAGCTTAACGACGGTGGCAAGGCAGCCCGAGCACACGTGGGGATAGGTGATGTGGTTCTCACCATTGATGGGATAAGTACGGATGGGATGACTCATCTAGAAGCACAAAACAAGATCAAGGCATGTACAGGCAATTTGAACATGACTCTGCAAAGGTAAGATACCTTTTCCTTTCTTTTTTTTTTTTTTTTGAAGAGAATTAATCATCATTGTAAGTTGTTTGGACAATAAAAACATGCAAATGGTTTGGCAAAGTGCATGGAGTTAAGTGTCCATAATTGAAAGATATGCTGCTGTAGCCCGAAATGTGTCTGGATTTACAGCATTTCAGAAAATTTATTAGATGTTAATTATGTGAGTTGAAAAAAACCTTTTCCAACCTTCTGTCACCTGCTCTATATTGAATGAAGTCTAGTTCCTCTTCCTTTTGAGCTTCAGTTTTGTTAACAGTTGTTTAATTAAAAACAGGTCTTATGTAGGCTCTTTTTCCCTCTCCTTCCCCCGATTGACCAGGAGCACTTCTTTTTTTGGGTCGGGTCCTACATCATCGTTTTTACTGGCAAACAGAATGACGGATTTATTTACACAGTTAACCCCTGAATTCTATGGATGAAAATACTGCAGCTCAGAGTGGGGCTTCACAAAGTAGCAGCTTCCCTTTGCTAATTGCAGCATCTACTGCAGAAGTTACAGCTTGGTCCGGCCTCCCTGTTCCTGAAACATACAATTTATTGAATTTCAGCATACTGCTGTGGGCCTGGGACCATATTTTGGGAGGGGCTGGAAGAAGGGAGCAGGATGCTCACGTGTGGGTTGCTGGAACTGAAGCAGGAAGAGCG